TGTTTAATAATTCAATTTAGAAGTATTCATAATATTAATAAAAGAGCAAGGATAGTTATTATCATTGTTTTTCTTTTTCTTTTAATTTATCTAGTTTTTGTTGGCTTTTTTTTTCTTTTTTTATTCTCCTCGTTTATATTTCATTTGCTTTTCTTCCTTTTTTGTTGTTGAGAACTTTTTGTTTTTTATGTGTCACTCCATTGACTATTTTGTATCTATATAAGTGACACCTAACCAATTTCTGTAAATTTACGATGAAAATTTGTAAATTTTTATTAATATGGTTAAATAAAATTTTAAAAAATTAAACATACACACAATTTAAAATAGTAGCAACGTATCTTTAATCTTCTTTAAAGAGAGATTACTAGGGTTTATTGGTCAAATGTTGAAACCAAATTTTGTTCTATTTGCGGTAATCCCACACAATAATTAATATGAGTTCGTTACATAATACAAATTAAGGTTTTAAAAACTTTTAATTTGTTTTAAATTATAAGGTTTTTATTCTGCATAGAAATGCTGCTTCAGTTCATCTAAAGTCACACTTGGAAGCTTTCAAAGTGTATGAGGACCTTCCCTGATTTTATTATTTTTTTCAAAATATTTTTACTCTTTTATTATTATCCCCTCCATAACAAGACACTTGGGAGTAAATAATACTAAGTATATGGTATAGACTCCAACTTTAACTCTGTAGTCCTAAATTTATAACTTTATTAGACACTGGCAATTAGCTTATTTTTATAACTTGTCCCACAGTAGCTTATAACTTTAATTACTTAAAATTTTTTGCCGTAGCCAAAGATTCGGCAAAAAATTGACCTGGCTTCGGCAAAATTGCCGAAGCTTCGGCACGCCAAAGCCGAAGCCGAAGCTTCGGTACATCCCTACTTTCAAACTCATTTGAAGTTTTTTGATGGTTTTGATACTTTATTTTATTCTTGTTTTTTTGCTCATTCCCAAATTGATTTTCGACTTTTTTTATTGATAAGTCTTTTGTGTACTCTTTGACATATTCTCGACACGATCACTTTTACTTTATTTTTCACTTAACAGTTTTATAATATCCATTTTATTATCTGTGAACTTATAATGTGAAATTGAAAAAAATGATTTTTTTCTACATGCATTGAATTTTTCTTTAGACCTTGGATAGAAAATATACTTTTATTTTGTAAATTTTTTATCCAGTTTCCAGGCTCCGATAAAAAATTCAGTACCAAAATAAAAATAATATTTCATATATATTTGGCAAATTTTTTTTATTATTTCAAAAATGTAAAATGAACAAAAGTTCTTAATTGTGAGATCCCCAATATATGTCAATGACACCAGAAGACATGGTTTAACAATTTGAAAGCAAGCAGTTTTACTTCAAGCCATGTAAAGAAAAAATTATGCATTTATTTAATAATTAAAAAAAAAGTTAAAAACAAGTTAAAGCAATTATCAAATTAGTATTTTGTTGGCAGTTTTTTAAATAGTGAAACCTCAATTCAAATTCATATATGCAGCAACTGATACCATTTGCAAATATTTGTTTCACTATTGTTTAAAGTACTGGAGAAAAAAAATGAAGTATAATAATAAGAAGAAATAAAAAGTTTTTATAAAATCCAATACTAGTATAGTTAAAACAGTTTAAAAAAACTAGAAAAATAAAAGTAATAAGTAGCAATAAAAAACTGTTTAACAAAATTTAAATTTAAAATATTGAAAATTAGTGATCTTGGCTAAAATGGCAACACATAATAAGTTTTCATTTGGAGTTGTTACATCTGATGATTTTCAAAAATCACTAAAAAGGTTAAAAATAACATAAAATCTTTTACTGTTTTAATTTTAAGATTTTTTTTGTCAGGGTTAAGGTTAGTAGAAAAAAGGGTTAGGGTAGTAGAAAAAAGTTGACTTGTAGAATTAACTCAGTAGTAAAAAGACTTTTTTTGGTGAACACATATAAGAACCATATTAATTTATTTAATTCATTAAAATCATTTTAAAATTAAAATGCCTGGTACACCAAGCATTTTAATTCTTGTGTAGAAAAAGTTTTTATAATAAAGGCAAGAGTTAAAATTTTAAAGGCTATGACAGTAAAGTTGCAAATGCTTCAACTTGGCTGTTAACCTTTGCTTTCAAAAAAAAAGTTGTATTTGCAAAAACTGCTATCAAATAATTTCAATTACGGTTTCCAAGCGAGTATTTAAGATTACAGTTAATTAAGTATATATATATATATATATATATATATATATATATATATATATATATATATATATATATATATATATATATATATATATATATATATATATATATATATATATATATACAGTGGTTTTCATAAATTTAGACGCACTCATATTTGAGAATAGAAATTTTTAGTTTTTCAACGATAAAACAATGACGAAAAAAGATTTTGGTTTAGTTTTTTTTCTATTTATTAGATAAATACATACAGAATACAAAATTTAAAAAAAGTTTACAAAAAAAATGAAATACTAAGTAATAATTAGGTACAACTATATGGTATTAAAAAAATTAGACAAAAAAAATTATTCATAAATTTAGACGCACGATTCATTAGAAGGCGTAACTTATGAACCAATCAAGATTTTGTGTATCCGCCTTTTGCTTTAATACAACTAAGAACTCTTCTAGGCATAGACTCAACAAAATTTTTGCACATCGCTTCTGGGACCCCATACCAGGTCTCCTTAAGGAATTCCTTCAGCTGAGTAAGTGTGGAAATTTGAACCTTTGCTAATTCACGGTCAATCCAAGCCCAAATGTTTTCAATTGGGTTTAAATCAGGTGAGTATAAAGGCCACGGTATTGTCATGATACTATTATCGTTGAACCACTCCTTTGTATAGTATGCAGTATGTGCAGTAGCGCCATCTTGTTGAAGTTTCCACCAGTGTGAAGAAAGTTTTGTTTCGTTGTTGGAACGCATTTCTTAGAAACTCCAATTAACTTGGCGATTTTTCTATTACTTTTGGTTCCTTCTTTGATGTGCGCAATAATTTGCCATCTTTCACCTTGAGTGATACGTCTTTTGCCCATTTTTCGCGTCTTTTTAGTGCAAAACTAACTTAACTTTTGTTTATTTATTAAATAATGATTAACTAACTCCAGGTAAGTTGTATTTATATAAGGTTTTTTGACAAAATCAATTACTTTAGGCCTATTAATGAGAAATATGGGGAAAAAACTACTAATTAACTATCAGTTAACAAGATATATGACTTTTTTGGTTGTGCGTCTTAATTTATGAACAAAATAAAATTAAGCTTATCAATTAACTTTTTTGTGTTAATCGGTATAGAATGAGTAATAAACATCCTGTAAAAAAAAAATTAAGGTACTCATAAATAGAGTTTCACTTCCTCTTGTAAATTATATATCAAACATAGCGGTAGTACTTTTATTTTATTTTTATTTTGAGTATTTTCTTACATATATGATAATAAAATGAATGCGTCTAAATTTATGAAAGCTACTGTATATATATATATATATATATATATATATATATATATATATATATATATATATATATATATATATATATATATATATATATATATATTATATGAAATATATTGCATTATTATGTTATTTAGTTAAAAAGTTGTCAGAAAATACATAACTAAAAAAATCATTATCTTTAGGCACAAAACAAAAAACTTTGGCAGCTAAAATTTTGTTTAAAAAAATTAATGAATTAATAAAGAAATAATGAACCTGCATAAAATCAATTAAGTTGCTAACTCAATTGCATCAAAATAATATTTTATAAAATCAAAAGGTCCAGCTGTAATTTGCTATCAGGTGACCACGAGTGTACACTACTGATAATTTTCCATTTATTGATTGTACAAAACAGAAAACTTTCTAATTTAAACTGAATGCGCGATTTAATTATTATCAAGTGAGTTGTTTTTTATATACTTTTTATATACTTAATAAATATAAAAGACCTACATAATATACTTATACTAATATAATATATATAAGTGTAACTATATATATATAAATATATATATATATATATATTAATATATATATATATATATATATATATATATATATATATATATATATATATATATATATATATATATAATAAAGTTGATGCAACTGATGCTATTAAACTTTTAACTTTGTAAATATCTTTATTTAGTAAAGTTACATTTATTCACGTTGCGCATTTCTGTTATGCAACAAAATCTCATAACGAGGCCTTTATACTGACATATATTTTTAGAAATGTTTTTTACATCTGTAAAAACCAGGTCATAAAAACATGAAACTAGTGATGTTACATTTTTTCTTTTGTTGTTTGTGAGCACGTTTTTCAAAGTTTCAATAAAAAATAGGTATTACAAATAATAATAAATAGCAGAATCCCTTTAACCCTGACTCTGAAGAAATTTAAAAATGTCTGACTTATGGTGGTTAGGAGACAGTATTCTGAATTTTTTCTGTTGTAGTTCTAATTTAATTTTAAAATATTTTTAATAAATAGACTTTAATATAAGCTTAACTGATTCAAAGATATCAGCATATTTAGTTTGTTAAAATATATTTGACACAAAAGTATTTGATATTCGAACATTTTAAGTTTTATTTAATGTTTCTGAATTTTATTACATGGTTTTTTTATGCAATTCAAATTAAGAAATAAATTCATAATAAAAAAGTACTTTATTACAAATATAATTTTTTTATTTAACAATATACCAACTCTACTGTTTAAACATATTTTAACTTCAGCAAAAAATTTTTACCAAAAATATTTTATATGAAATCAACTTATAATTTTCTCGCAAGTTCTTCAGATAAATGCGATTTTTTACTCTAGTTACAAAACTAGCGAGCGCTATTTGCCACATATGAAAGGCTAATTATAGACGTGTTTTATGTGCGTGGAGTGATTGCTCCAACTTCATCACAAGGCCTGATATATATGTTTATTTTTTTATTTTTTTCAGGAACAAGTTTCACCTTATTTAAAACAAGTTGAAGGTACTGTTAAAAGTTCAGCTGGTACAGTAAGCAAAACAGTTGAAAAAGTAAGTTTTTGAAACAGATTTGTTTTGTAAAGCAAAAAGTGGTTATGAGTTAGCTAAAGAACATTAATATAAATATATGACTGCACTAAACATTTATGTATGCACATGTGTCTAGCAAGGTTTATACTGTGCACCAGAGAGACCGCCAGGGTTTTTGTTGTGGCACTCAAATCAAGTCCTTATTATATGAAAGTATTTTATATATTGTTTTAGAAAACATTTTTTGAAATCAAAATGCGTTGTTATCATACCTCTTTTTTGATATAAATATATTATAAAATTGTAATAAAATTTCTTAATTTATCGACGGATCTAAACTAAAAGTGTTAAAAAAAAATTGCTTTTATTCTTGGAAACCACTGATAGATATTTTTTTAATGGAGGTAACATAATTTATTTTGTAAAATATATTATTTAATATGATAACTTAAAAAGAAAATTGTAAATGTTTAAAAAATATTTTTCTACAAATTTTTATATAATATTTAATTAAGAATTAGCTATTTATTACATTATCTCACTTCAGTAATAGATTGGGGTTCACAGTGGCTTGTGAATTTCAACTCTAACAAAACCCAGTTGTTTACTGCAAACAACTACCGTAATATGGTCAGGTCAGGTCAGGTCAGGATAATCAAGATCAATCTTGCTACTGGTATTACATTAACTGTAACCTCATATTAGATGGACTTATAAGTTTGATTACTCCCTGTACTAACTAATTAAAAAAATTTCCGAGATAAAAAAGATGGTAGTAAATAAATTTTTAAATTGCAAAAGGTTGTGTTATTAAGTAGTTGTATTTCTTTCACTTAAATATGAATTCTACTTGTTGCTGTTGCTGGGAAAAGTATGGCGAAAGATCAAGATCATTGAAAAAAATGAATAAAAACTTAGAAGAACAAATTCAACTGTTTATCTTTCCAGGATATTTGATGAACAATGATTGCTATCCATCACTTGTTTGTCCTGGTTGCCAAAGAAATCTTTACAGACTCAAAAAGGGTGACTCACCTTGTGTTGAATGGGGAGCTAAGGTTACCAAGGTATATTTAATGATTTTTTTAGTTCCATTTTTTGTTCTTATTTTTTCTTTTGTTTATTTATAAATGTATATTTATTTAGGTAGAGTAGAAAACTCTTTTGAGAAATAGCTCCAGTACCAGTCTAAATCTTCCAGATAAAATAACTAATTTACCAACAACTGAGTCAAGTATATGTTCCTTTTGCTATAGATTACCTGTACCTGGTTATTCTCATAACTGTACACTCAACAGTACTGTGGGTGATATCATTACGTTGTCATTTCTTATAGGTACTATTCACGTTGAACAGGTAAAAAAAACTATATTTTGTTTATAAGTTTTTAGTTTTTTATGCAAATTTCATTTTGTGAAAATTTTTTGTAGGTTGCTTCTGGAATTATAAAAAGTAAAATGGCTACAGAAAGTTTGATGGGCAGATCAACGTTTTGTTTATCTAAAGAAGGAAATCTGCTCAAAGTCACAATTGGCATACCAGAAAACAAATAAAAAATAACTTCTATTAAGCCACTTTCCATTGAAATAATAAAGCAATTACAAATTGTGTCAGAACTTTCAAATAGAAACACAAAAGAGATGCTTTCTACTTTACGCAAAGGTTTAGGAAATAAGCTTTCCATTGAGCTTAACATTTTTGGTCATCTTTCTGAATTAGAAGAATATATTTCCAATTACTACAGTGTGCAAGTTTGTTGATAGTAAAGGCCATTTTATTTTACGAGATCTTGAATAAGTTCAAAATACATCAAATTTTGTACTTGACTTGTCAAAATTATGTGGTTTAGACCCTACTTCAGCCTTTATAAGAATTTCTTTGGATGGCGGAGGTTCATTTTTTAAAGTAATCCTGTCTTTGATTGTCAAAAAGATAATGAGACAGATGAGTATTTAAATAGTGGCGTTCAACTGTTAATTTTTAGCTATTGTTGAAGATATTCCTGAATCTAACTATAGTTTGAGACTTGTTATTGAAAAATTAAATTAGCAAGATGATAGTTTTTATGTTGCTTTTGACTTAAAATGTGGAAACGTGCTATTTGGTTTATCCGGACATTCTAGGAAAAAAGCTTATTTTTGGTGTGAAGGAATATCTACATTAAATTTAGAGACAAAACAAACTCTTGGCAGTATTGATTATTGGTACAATAAATATTTAGAAAATAACTCAGTAAAATCATCCATGCAAGAATTTATAAACTGCATCAATCCTCATATTTTGTATATTAATTTGGATCCGAATACTTTAATTGAGCAACTTGTTCCTTCACCTAAACTTCATTTGTTAATTAGTTTTGTTTCACTGCTTGGAAATTTTTTGTTAGATGTCTGGCCTTGATTTTATTATTGGCTAAAGTCAACAAATATTATTCAGCGAGGGTACTAAGGCATAGGCCGGGGCGGAAACAAATTCAAACAAAGTATTAGAAAATCTGGATTCTCTTGAAGCACAAATTTTAGAAACATTTACTTGTTTGATTCCAATTGTTCAGTGTTTGAGAGATTTTAGAAATGTAAAAAATTGTTGCTTTTCCAGCAATATACAAACTGGCTTCAAAGAAGCAGTAACTAATTTAAAGAATTCATTTCTTTCTGCACAAGAAGCTGTAATAAATTTAAATAAACAAATACAACATGGAAAGTCCACATTTTACTGTGTTATGTACAGTCACATGTTGAACACCATAACAAAGGATTGGATAACCTTGCTGAACAATGTGGAGAAAGTATTCATGCAAAGTTTAAACCAAAATGGACAAGGTTTAAGAGGCAAAAAGAGTATTTCAAACATGGTGACAGGCTCTTATCAGCAGTAGTTGATTTTGGAGCAAAAAGAATTTGATTTTGTTTATAAGTTTCACGGTCATCAGATCCTTAAGTTTTTATATAGCTATAGAAATAATTTTAAAAAAAAGGAAACAGTAAAAAAAAATATAACTCTGTACAAACATGGCAATTATAATGGCTTTTCCAATATGTTAAATAGCTATGACTGGCATCTTGAATTCAAAAATTTAGGTGCAAATGTTTAATACAACAAATTTGTCGATATTTACAATAAAGGACTTATATATTTCATTCCAACAATTACAAAGAGAGTTGTTAAAACAAAAGCACCTTGGATGAACTCGAACTAAAAAAAGTTAATTAAAAAGAAAAGAAACCTCTGGAGAAAATGTTTACATTTGCCTCTGGAGAAAATGTTTTTTAAACAAAGGAAATGTATTAGAATACAAATCAATTAGAAATAAAGTAAAAAAAGAAATAATAACTAAATTAAATTATATGAAAATACCATTGCCTTAAATGTTAGAAAAAACCCAAAAGCAATTTATGCAAATATAAACAAAAAGTCAAAAGTTAAAGAAGGAACTAACGCATTAAATGTAAATGGCAAACTTGAAACAAATTATTTATCAATAGCACATTCCTTAAATAATTATTTTAGCTCTGTTTTCACAAATGAAGTTAGTGACAATATACCATTATTTAAAAATAGGACAAACATTATTTGTGAGGACCCTACATTCTCACTGGACACAGTTTCTATAATCCTTAAGTCACTAAATCCAAATAAATAGACAGGAGTAGATAAAGTTCACCCATTTCTTTTAAAATGTTGCGCAGATGCGTTCTCTCTTCCTTTATCACTTATTTTTAATAAATCGTATGACACAGGAATAATTCCATTGATGTGGTTAAATGCTAATCTAACACCATTATTTAAAAGTGGAGATAAATCGGAACCATCAAGTTATCGACCAGTATCACTTACTTCAGTTATAAGTAAAGTAATGGAATGTATCTTAAAAGCTATGTCGCACTTAGAAAATAATAATCTCTTGACATGGATTTTCTAAAAAAAAAAGCTGTTGTACAAACCTTATAGAATCTATGGATCTAATAACTCAAGCAATGGAAGATAATTTACCAGTAGATATTATTTTCCTGGATATAAAAAAAGCTTTCGACTCAGTGCCTCACATTAGATTGTGTCAAACTAAAAAGTTATGGTTTCAACTATAAAACAGTTAGATGGTGCAAAAATTTCGTATGTAACAGAGTGTAACGTGTTGTCTGCAACGGCGAATTTTCAAATTGGTCTCCAGTTACAAGTGGAGTTGTCTGCAAAGGCGAATTTTCAAATTGGTCTCCAGTTACAAGTGGAGTACCGCAAGGGTCTGTCTTGGGTCTGTTTATGTTTATTGTTTATATAAACGACTTACCGAATGAGTTATCAACGAACTGTAAAATGTATGCTGATGATATTAAACTAATTAACATAATTAGATCATCTTCTGATATAGAAAAGACTCAAACAGATCTAAACAAATTATGACATGGTCACAATTATGGCTATTAAAATTTAATGTCAACAAATGTAAACGCATGCATATAGGTAGCAAAAATACTAAGCATATATATACAATGTATGATTCATTTGTTAAATAGAGTTGAGCTACCAGAAACCAAAATTGAAAAAGATTTAGGAGTTATGATTTCAAACAACTTAAAATGGTCAAGTCAAGTTAATTATGTGTCTGGTAAAGCTAATAAAATGTTAGGAATAATAAAACATTCATTTAAAAACTCAGACATTAACGCATCTAAATTATTGTACACCTTTCTTGTAAGACCGTATCTAGACTACGCAAATTCAGTGTGGTATCCTTACTTAGAACAAGATAAAAAAAATTGAATCGATACAATGTAAAGCAACACAAATAAAATGTCTTCAAGGGGAAAACTATGAATGTAGACTAACCTACTTTAAATTAACAACTCTTGAAAAAAGACGCGAACCTAATGACCTAATCCAACTTTACAATATAGTAAAAAAAATAGATAATTTAACATTGGAATACCCACCAGATTTAAAAGCTTCAAATATGAGAGGTCACAGTATGAGGTTTCATAGGCAAATAACTAAAAATCTAAAGAGATACTATTTCTTAACAAACCGTGTTATTAACAGCTGGAATAATTTAGATTAAAACATTGTAGATTCTAAAACACTTAAACAATTTAAATCAAAGTTGGACTTATTTTCAACATAAATCGGCTGTTAAAGGCTAGATCAACTAGGCTCCGTACATTGTCATTGTACATGTACACAGTTATTATTAAAGGGATCCCTAAGTGCTCCTAACATATGATCTCATATGAAGGAGCATAAAAAAAAATATGTAAGTTTTTTTTCTTTTTCACTAAATTGTAATAATAAATGCATGCTAACAATAAGCAATTGCCGAAATCACTAAAAAACAACTCCATTTTGATTTTATTTTTTCACCATTGAAACTCGATTGTTAGTCGTTAAAAATTACGTTAGTACGTCACAACAACTTTAGAATATCTACTTCGATTTTCAAGTAAAAAAAAGTCGTGATTAAATAGTCAAGTTTTTTTAATTAGTTTTGCAAAAACAGTATAATAGCATTCGGTTGAAAGACGTCGTTAAAAAAAAAATTATTAAGTAATAGGTTTAAATAGTTTAGAACTTATAAAAAAGTCTTACAGGGCTCGTATTAAGAGTATCGCGATCGCGATTGCAACACACACTTTTGTGATTAGTTTTTTCTTAAAAAAATCTTTTCGCGACTCGTTTTTTTTTTTGGTTGACTAATTACTTTTTTTCTAGCTTAGCATTTTTTTTAGCAATTCTTAAAAGTAATGTTTTTATCATAAAGAACGTCCACAAAATTTATTATTCTGAATAGATAGATGAATAGATGATTTGCTCTTTTGCGCGGAGATTTTCTTTCAACATAAAACATTTTTGAATTTAAATTACTTTAAATCTCTGTGTGGAATATTTTTACAAGGTCGTTAAAGCGAAAAGTTGAAAAGTTGGTTTTTATCTTTGTTTATCAAAACTTCATGTTTAAAATAAGGCTTAAAAACGTTAGAGCAAAAAAATTTCTGATTTTATTTGCATTTTTATACTGTTTGAAAAAAAAAACTAATAAAAAAGAATTAATATATTAATTAATATATTATTAGTTAATTCTTTTTTATTAGTTTTTTTTTCAAACAGTATAAAAATGCTAATAAAAACCAGCATTTTTTTTACTTTAATGTTTTTAAGCCTTATTTTAAACATGAAGTATAATTCGATTTATTAAACCAAATTTTTTTTATTGGAAAACTTGAAATAGAAAAATTGAATAAAAACATCAACCATTTAAATGAAAAACTTAATTATATTTAAACTTTTATTAGTCCTTTATTCAAGAAACAATAAATTATAAAAAACGTGGTATCTAATTTTTTATTAAGTTTTTGACGATGTTTTTTGATTTATTGACGATAATTTTTTCCCCCCATTACCGCACATCGGCGCGAGCTATAAGAGAGAGAGGGGGGGGAAGAGAGAGCAAAAAAAAAAAAAAATTTCGCGATTACATTTTTTTTGCGTTAATTCGAGCCCTGTCTTAGTTTAATTTCTAATAAAATGTCTATTTAACCTTATCAATTTGAACCAAAAAAATATAGCAAACATAAATGTTAATTTAACTAAAACATTTTACAATCATTATTTTTTTTATCAAGCAAAAACGAGAGTAACCGTCACTTTTGAAAATATAAAAATTACTGAAACAAATTTATTTTTTTACTAAGGAAATATTTTAAATAAACTTTCATATGTCTAAGTTAGTATTCATTTGTTTTTAACTGACTAAAAAGAGTTTAAAATTTGACTTCTATTTATTTTTAGCCGTGGAATTGCCCTTATAACACAAATATATAAATTAATATTATAAAAAAAATTTTAATATACAAATATATTTTCACAAAATGCTACAAAACTTATTCTTGTAAGTAATTATGTGTTAGTTGAAAAAAAACGACTTTGCTTTTAAATTTAATTACCAACTAATAAGTTTGCAATAATGACATTTTGTCTACTTTGTTTAATTTGACGTACTAACGTTAGTTTTTTGAGGCAGTAGAGTCAATAAACTTTGGACAAGACACATTTTTTTTAATCGAAGAAAAGCGTTTTTTTGAAAATTAAATTTGTTAGTGTGGGTTCATTATTACGTTTTAGAAAAAATGATATACATCTAACATTTTTTTTTTTTATGATCTTTCATATGAGATCATATCTTTATAGCACTTTGGGTTCCCTTTAAATAAATAAATCAGCGCAAATTTTAAACTGAATATTTCTAAAGTCAATGATTTTGAAAAAACAGCACAGTTTTCATAATTCTCCTGAATATTTGGGACTATTCCTATGAGTAATGTCTAATCAACGAGCGTTTTTTTTTTCAGGTTCGGACAAATGCCCTTGGAATAGTTTGATCTCTTGGTGATATCATTACCAAAATAACTTGCCACATCAATAGTGCCAATTCCAAGCTTAAAGAAACCTCCACCACGATCAACAAACACTTTCACCTTGTTGGTCTTGCGTCTTGTTTTCTTTTTTCAATCATTTTCCAGGTGAGTTCTTCCACATCTTTAACAAGAACAACAGGTCGCACAATTAAAGTTTCAGTTTCCAAATTATAGAAATCAAGGTCAACTGTTGAGAAGTACTCTACTAAAGAACCATTGTTATATACCATGAATTCTTTAAACCTAGCTTCTATTGATTTTTGACCGTGCTTAACCCGAGTTGCTTTTGATATTGCATCCATATCAGAACCAGACAACTTTCTATCAACCTCAATGGTCATCAAATCTTTGTGGCTCCATTCTGCAGTAGGCTTTATTGATTTTTTTGAAATTGTAAATGATTGCCCTCCTGTTTTAAGGGATGCAATTTCTGATTCTTCAAACTTTTCTATAATTTGATCTGCAGCTAATTTTTCTCTTGCTTCTTGATTCAAGGAGTTTTCAATCATCTGACGAAGGTTTGTTGAACCAAAGACCTTTGTACAAGTATGACCTTGTAATGAATCAATGGATTGAAAGCACTGATTACATATTGTTAAAGACACTTTTTTGGATGGTTTTTCCTGAACTCTATGTCTACTTTTAGGTTTAGTTCTTTTTGTTCCAGGTATTGTTGATTTAACTATCTGCATAGTAATGCAGATAGTATAATCACAGAGATTTTTACTTCTGGTAAGAACGGAGAGAACTGCTCCTGATGCTGTATGAAGATGTATATGAAGAGGAAGAGTAGTTCCCACATAGTGTTTTCCATGTAGTAATAATACTCTGTTACAGGTGTTGCATATTTCAGTCGCAAAGGATGGATTATCAATGTTATAGTTTGGTAAAACCAACTATAACATTGAACTATGACATTGCTGTATCTGAAAGAGCTATAACCGAACTATAACATTGCTGTTCTGTCTGCTTTTTAATAACATATACAGCAGCATTTATGACAAGCATCAAAGTGTGTTATTACAAAATTAGGCATTTTATGTCAAACTTTATGTTGTTTATTTAACTTTTAGCTAGATTAAAAAGCATACTTATATAATACATTTATATTACATTTTGTTATATAGTATATATGATTATGTAACACAAGTATAAATTTTAATATATTGTTATTTTAAATTATTGTTAAATTAAATTATTGTTAAATTAATTAATATACACAAATATATAATATAAATATTATTATATAATACAATATTTTAAAATCTATTTATATTATGTAATATGATTAAACTATATAAGATAATTAAATTATATAATAAAGTAATAACAATTAAAGTAACAATTAACCAAAAAATTAACTGTAAGTATCTAGTATAATTTATAACTTAATAATATTTTTAAAAGGCTTCTGGTTTTTACCGCTACTTAGTTTATTTTACTGGATTGTAGCAATTTAATATATATATATATATATATATATATATATATATATATATATATATATATATATATATATATATATATATATATATATATATATATATATATATATATATATATATATATATATATATATATATATATATGTATATGTATATATATTATAGAAATACAAATATAATTTAAAATTATTTAGTTTTAAAATGAAAAAAACACTCTTAATTGATAGGACATTTCAAATTTTGTAAAATAATACCTTGCTAGAAAAACTTAATTTGAGCTTGTGCACTTTTTTAAAGCATAAACACTTTTGTGGGGAGGTGTGACCTGGCGGTCTCTCTGGTGTTTAGTTTTACATAAAAATTTTTAAATTAAAAAATAAGTAAATTTTTGAAAAAAATTTATTTAAAATGATTTTATGAAATGTTTATTAAATATTTAAATAATAGAAAATTTATAAAAAAGAATTTTTTTGTTATTTTTTTTTTTTTGTTGTTTTAATGTGAATTCGATATAAAATAGAATTCAAAAAAAATTAAGAAATAATTTGACAATTATTACTATTCAAAGGTTATTACTGAGAGTTTGTTTAACTTATTACTCAGAATTTGTTGAACTTATTACTGAAAATATGTTGGACTTATTACTGAGAATGTGTTGAACTTATTACTGAGAAATTAATTATATGAAAAATAGAAAGAAAGTATATTTGTGGCAAATTTACCTACAAAAGAAAAAATTTGTTTAAATTTAGTTGTATGAAGATGCTACTAAATCTGAAATTTTCAAGAAAGGACAAGAGGGTGTGTATGAGGTATGTGTTTTAAGATAGTGTGTATAAAATAAAGTTAATGTTTTTTAGATAAAACTATTTTTTTAAAGAAATTTTAAAAAATTTAAGTTTCCTTAACTTTTTTTTCCACTTTAGCTAGGTAAATCTGTTAAGCAGGCAGCTTCTACAATATCAAAGCACAGTGAAGAAATTGAAAAAAATGAGACTTTTAAAACAGCATCACAGGTTTTGTAATTTTTTTTATATAAGTTATTATAGCAAACATGGACTTAAAATATACATAATGCTTTTGTTTATATTTACATTTACAAAAACGTCTTTGGTTTATAAAAAGGCCTATTTCTATTGATTTATAAGCAGGTTTATTAAATGAGATAAGAAATAATAAAAAAGTTGTAACCACATGAAATTTAAACAAGATCAAAAACGCAAATTGGAGTTTTAACCAAATCAAAAATGAGTCAATTAAATTGTTTCAAAGTAATTTATCTAGATAATAAAAAAAACATACAAAAAGTAAAATAATGCTAACTTACTAATTACTGCTTTCTTCAATTTAACTGTACAATTTCACTTTGGCAGAAGTGATAATAGAGTAATTAAACTGCTTTTTTTGTAGTTTTGAACAATCGATAATATCAAAAACACAATATATGGAAAACTATTTTGAGTATAATCAAAGGCACAAGATAATAGTGTTTTATTAACCTCTTTTTAGAATATTTAAATTTGCATCTTCTGAATTTATTGAAGGATTATGAAAAATGCAAAAAAATATTTGACGCATTCTCCGAACTTTTTTATTTACCTTTTTGCAATATACACTACAACTTCACAAAATTCACCTGACAGTATAACTTCATAAGATTCATCTGACAGTATAATTTTTTCATAGTTGATATCTTATATTTTATATATTTAATTTAAAAAATTTTCAGAACATTTCCACTTATTATCTATGATATCATTTTTTGAAAATATTGAAACTTTGACTTAAAAATATCTTTTAAGTCTTCCAGAAATCTTTTTGATAAACTTGGAAAACAGTTTGTCAAAATTTATTCTTTAAAAGATCCTCTGTTAGTAATGCTTGGCATAAAAATGAGCTAATAAGTTTTCACAATTCTAAATTTTTGAGCATACCCAAGTCACAAGTAGTAAGAGACCGGAGTTGATTTTTTGACCTGGGTCGAGTTTGATAAAGTATAGCCAAGGCCAGGGCCGGGTTTGTGACAGGGGTTGCATAAACATTTATACATCCTAAAGTATCTTTTTTTATTTAAAATTCAAGTTTTATTTTGTAATATATGCATATATAAACATCATTATGATCAACATAATCATTATAATGATGCTAATCATTGTCATCATAATCATTATCATTTTTAGCTTTCCTCTTATATGCTGTTTCTCTAATATAAACAATCTAAAGCATTTTTTTTTTCTTAATAAAGCTCATTCATACAATATGTAAGGCACTCTCTTCAAGTTTTCTTACATCTACCTGTTTGCTTACTTACCTCTTACTTCTACCTCTCTAAATGCTGATATATAAATCACTTTAACCTTTTCTAACAAACGTTTAATACAGTGTTTTTTCTAATCTATCTAAGATTATTCTCTTTTCTTGTCTTGCTAGAGTCTTTTCTTGGGTCTGATCTTTTCACTTCTCTTCTAGAATATTCTGTTTGAATTTACCAAGGTGTAAATTTTAGTTTTTTTTTTGTAAACAATGTGCACAGCTTTCATCAGACTTCAAAAACAAATAGATTTATTGCTCTTAAAAATTTAAAAAAACATTTTTTGTATTGTAATTGTGTTTCATATAACTATGAAACAAGTTGTTGTGGTTGCATTCTAGCATGGTTATCATGGTTGAAACAAGTTGTTGTGGTTGCATTCTAGCATGGTTATCATGGTTGAAATTGTTCTTGTTCTAAAACCAATATTCATTAAAATATCTGAGCAGCTCAAAATTTTAAACTACTTGCTGTTGTTTTTGGTGGCTAGCAAGGCATGGTACATTTAAATGGTAGATTTTTTGTTGTAAATTTTTTATGGTAGTGGAGACCGGGGCAAGTTGACTATGTTAACAATTTTTGTTTATTACTAATTTATTTTTAAGTAAAATTAATTTTATAGAAACATGTTAGAGTAGTATTAAATACCATTTACTTATACAAACAAAAAAAACAAAGGACAATTTTATTTTTTCATAATCTTGACAAATCGTCAAGACCCAGTACTAGGTCAAGATGAATTTGGCCTTGGGACAAGATGTTAGCACTGAAAAATTTAAATATGTTTTAACTTTTGAATATGTTAATATTCAAAAGATAAAACATCTCTTAATATGTTATCATCTATCATCTATGTTGAATATGTTTTAACAACAAAAGCTTTGTAATTTTGTAACAAGCATTATGTACTGTACAATTATATAACAAAATACTTCAACATAATGTTGAAGTGTTTTGTTGTATAATTGACAGTAGCCTCAGATAAAAATGCCATTTTTATAATTGGAACATTCCTCATATCACCACTAATAGTATTTACAACACCGGATTCATTCTTATGTTGGATAATCACAATACTCCTTTTTACAAACAGGACATCTTGTAACAGCATCAATTAAAGTTGATGGACTGGACTGTTTAAATGGACTGGACTGTTTGGCCTGGGTTTAGATTTAGGCCTACATGAACTTAGTTTGAGTTTTTTTACTCCTTTTTTAGCTTCACAAGTTTCTGTTTTTTTAAATGTTCCTATTCTTTTTTCTGTTTTAACAGTTTTTTCTATTCTTTCTTTCTTGTTCTTTCTTTCTGCTTTTTTCTTTGTTTTAACGGTTCTTTGGTGGGTGTGCTTTTAAGAATGCTTGAGCTCAGTTTTTTGCTTTTCCTTTTTTTCTCATGTTGTTTTGCTTTAGACAATGGATTAAAATCAAAATCACTGACAGACTTCTTTGGTGCATCGGAATCAGGATTTGCCATAAATTCTGATTATTATAGAAGGTTTTTATGCTGGTTTTCAACTACCAGGCTCTGAGTATTAGCACTATTATTCAAATTTTTATCATCAGCAACAAAATTATGTTTGCTGAACACAAGTGGATTATAAGGTTCGACTCCACACTCTTTAAACCCATTAACAGCATTTCCAACTGTAACTGCTTTGAAGTAAGTGGTGCTCAAAAGCTCCCAAATATTTTTGTCTGTGACCATAAAGTTGTCACATGCTTGGCTATAATAGGTCTTTAATGGGCCACAAAAAAGACACATCAAAGAGCTGGAGACGATGTGATGTGTGAGCTAGTAACCCAATCATGCTGATTTTTTCCTCTGCAATATAATATAGCCTCAAAAGTTATGTGAATTTTGTGTTTGTTGATAATCAACAGAGCGGGAGATTCTTTGCTATGTTTCATGTGAAGATAAAAGTGTTTCAATAAAGATAAAAGGTACCCTCATTGCTCCAGTTGTTATCACTACAGTGACCTACAATTCCTGATGGCACTCTATCTACAAGTTTAGGAAGCATTTGTTTTCTGGCAAAAATCAGAAAAGGTGGCTGATAAAAGGTGATAGCGCTAATGCAACAAATTGTAGTTATATTCCTTCCTCTCTCTCTGCTGAAACAATTTTAGAGAATAGAACCTGTCAGACTGAGAACCATGGGTAGCTTATTAGGCACACAAGGGTAGCTGAAATAGCATGGGTAGGCATAGTGGACCTAATTATATGCTTTTTAGATTGAAGAAGTATGTAATTAATATTTTTCCTGTTGCTCCCATAAAATCATGAAAAACTTGTCTAAACTTGCTTTACCCATTGCTGTGGCAATCAATGATGCTTCTGGTTTGTGTTCACTAAATTTATGTTTCTTCATAAAATTAGTTAGCTAATCTGAGCCAACCGTCTTTGTATCCATTTTGATATCTGCAGTTATTGAGGAGTAAAAATCATTAATGTCAAATTGAATAAATGCACAGTCCTTTTTACTTAAGATTATTTGTTTAGATTTTTTAGATAAAACAATTGAATTCCTATAATAAAACATTGCAGAAGGACATTACTTTATTTTAATATAAAAATTTGGAAAAAGAAAAACATACATGGACTGCTTTAATGTAACAATTGGTATTATGATAGAGCAGAAATTTGTGAATTTATTTGGACTATAAATTTTTAAATTTATTAAGTAAAATAATCAATATTATTGATTTAGGCCTTTATCTTGATGATGGTAAAAAGTAATGTGTAAAAAATCTGGTCCACAGCTTGATAAAATTAGAAAAGATATTATAAAAGTTTTTAAAAAACATCTTTTAAATCTAAATAAGCATAAATTTGATTGTGAATTTTCTTGATGTCACAGCCTCTCTAAAATTCACATTATTGTACATTAATATTAACTAAAATTATCTGCCCAAAATTTTAAAACAAATCCCAATTTTAATTAATAACATCTTGAACCAAAACTCTTCCTGATGAAAATGTATTCATTTCCTTTAAATGAATTTATGAAGATGATGAGTGGATTTCAAAATTTTGAACTAAAATTTGACCCTGAAAAAAAGAATACAAAAAGCAAAATAGAATTAGAAGTATAATTTAGTTTAACCCCCCCCCCCCCTCTTATATAGCAAAACTGTTTCCACTAACATAAGAAAAGTGTTTTTAAAATTGGTCAATAAACACTTATTGCCCTCTAGTTATTACATATACAAGTTACATAAGATTTTTAATCAAAATACAATTAAAGTTAGCACAAAAAATATGGAAAGATTTATAATGGTCACAATGACAGCATAACCCCCTCCCTCCCTCCATTCTGTCTGGAAAAATAACAGCAGTTGCATGTAAGCTTTGTTTGAAGTAAACTATTCTAAAGCATTCTTTTTATAGTAGTGTCATCATATTCCACAAATGTGTGAAAATTTACAGTAAAGACATTTATAACTTCATGTAATTTAATTTTTTGTTCAAGTTAAAATTTTATTAATTTGATCATTCATATCTGATGAGTCTTTATTGATAAAACACAGTGTTATATAAAAAAAGTTTGATAAGTGATTTACTACTAATTTATATATAGTTATATATGTATACACACGTCACATAAATGCTATTAGTTACATCACTGTATAAATGCTAATATTATTGCTATCACGTTATTAAAAAACAACAAAGACAAGCAACCTAGCTGCATTCACAGAAGAATACTTTAAAAAAACAACAGAAAAATATTTTGAAAAATAAACAGAAGAATACTTTAAAAAAACTTTGAAAACACTATGTTAAGAGATGAAAGACACACACAGAGTTACAACTACACTATCGAAGAGATGAAAGACACACACAGAGTTACAACTACACTATCGAAGAGATGAAAGACACACACAGAGTTACAACTACACTATCGAAGTAGCACTTTGTGCCAAGAACCTAAAGACACCCATCAGACAAGCAATGTTCTGAAAGTAGCTCACCATTTTTGCTCAAGGCTTGTCTTCTATGCACTTCTATCTTCACAATCAGAATTTCTATACATCCTGCAAGCAATACTGAATCACTTTTTAAGGAAAAAGTTCATATTTACCAGTCCACAGAATTGTTTAGTCTAGGTCCTGCAATCTGCAGTGATGACCACAATGGTTACTGTTATTTGGTAGGCCATCGATTGACAAGTTTTGAGGTCCGTGGTGTATCATTACAATACAGCCTTACAAGGTGGAAGACCTGGATTTGTTGGTGCACACTCTAAATTTAGAATATATGAAAAACCAAAATTGTGACAAGTTGCTGAATTTTTCTGTAAATCCAATATGCTAATGATGAAAGAATATAGAGCATGTGATAAAATAGTTAAACTCATTGACAACAAGAACAAAGTTTTTTCTTCAAATAAAGCTACTGTAAAACACATACACAGCATAGTTAATAAAATTTCTATATTACTACCATGTTTTGATTTATTGATATTTTATTAAAGAATTGTATTCAGATTTTTTTTAACTTATAAATTACACATGTTAGTTTGATATATTTGAATTTATTTAATAAATAAATAGTAATAAAATAAGTTTTAAAACTTCCTTTTTTTAGTTTTATTTAAAACTTTAGGCTTTTTCCAAAGTAAAGGAAGATCTTTTTGATGATATTGCAAAGGAATCTCGGCCGTATCAACGCCCTGGTTAGGTTTAACTTTAATTTGTTTGTTTTTGATATTAAAATTTAAAAAAATTTATTCTAATACTAAAAATACCAAATGTCATGGTTGTTTCACACAATGTAAAGTTTTATAAATACATTTGGTTTTCGGTTTTAGTTTTAATGTTTTATCCTTTTCTCAAAGCAGTTGTTGCTTTCCAATGATGAGTGGGAAATTTCTCATTACACTTGCTCATTAAGATTTAGACTTGCTGTTTTAAGTTTAAATTAATTTAAGACATTCTATGTTTTACATATAAGGTGCCTCAGGCATTTTACATAAAATTGCTTACATTTTTCTCTTTAGAACATCTTAAAAGACGTACTCAATTGAATAAAGCAGAAAAAAAGATCGAAGCAAACACGTAATACAATTTTTACGTTTTAAAATGTTTATTAAATTTTATTTAATTTTAATATTTTAATCCAAGAAGATAAATAGATATTTTAGAGAAATTAATTTTTTTTTCTATGGGAATAAATTAATATCTTAATATCTAATAAAATTTTGAACTTTTTTTTATTTATTTATTTTTTATTTTTTGTTTTGTTTTTGTTTTTTGTTTAATAATTGCCCAGTACTTTTCAATTATATTCAATTCTAGGCAGTTAAGAGGATTTGTTTTTTTAGGCACAAATTTTATGTCATTTTGTTTATACCATTCCATAGCCAGTTTACTATACTGTATATATACTATATGACTTGAAGTTAAATTGAGCCAAATCACATGTCTATTATCATGTGATTTAATTAGACGTAAAAGACGTTTTTGTAAACACTTTTCAAATTTTTTTCAGAATAAGGTGTATACCCATAAAATTGGGTGCTGATTTTTTTTCCACACAAGTAAATAGCTTGCAAAATTAAATCTCTTTTAGCAAACTTATCATGTTTTGTGTATTTAAATTTCTTATCTGCTTTTCCTCTATATTTCCTCTATATATCTTTTTGCACATTACTTAGTGAGAGGCTTGGGTCTTAAAACTGTTAACCAGTTTTTTATTTTAAAAATCCTCCTTTCTTCCATTAAAGTTTTTTCTGTTTACACTACAAAAAGAAGTTTTCACAGTGGTTCAAAGATTTTTTTTCACAGTGGTTCCAAAGATTTTTTTTCACAGTGGTTCAAAGAATTTATTTCACAGTGGTTCAAAGATTTTTTTCACAGTGGTTCAAAGATTTTTTTTGTGATACTTTGATTATATTATAATGCTATTTTTGATTATATTATAATTAAGGCCGTGCGGTTAACCGAACCGAACCGTTCTTTCGGTGAAAACCGAAACAAAAAAACCGAATCGAACCGAACCGATCTAATTATTTAAATCAAAATAAAAACCGAACCGTAACTGAAAAAACTTTTAAAAACCGATTTAAAATTTTAAAATTTCAAAAACATTATTTGACATCAAATTTTTAAATAAAATATAATTGTTATTTAATTTAAGAAATTTCAAACCGCAGAAAAGCAAAGTTAAAAAGGGAACAATGAAAAATAAACATAATAAAATAGCTTGCCATGAAATTAGAACAAATGTTGTGGACCATGATGGAGTAAGATTTTTTAAGGGTTGGATATCAATATCGTGTAGTATAAGCTTTTTCTAAAAAGATGTATTTTTTTAATCTTATTTAAATTTCTAATATTGTTTATAATATTTATCTTATAATATTATTATTTTGGAAACCTCGTTTTCTAAACTGTTTTCATTGTATAAATAATAAAACTGATATAATCAAAATAATTTGTTGTTTAAATATTATTAATGCCTTTAGGAGCATGCAAGGCATAAAATAGTTTAATATTTGCATTGTAACTAATAATGTTCTAAAAAATAATTAAAATACATTTTAAGGATTTTGAAAAATTATTAGTTAAACTTATTTATATTGAACTATGTTTATGTTTATTATACGGTTTGGTTGTCTTACTAATCATTTTTATTTTATTTGCATTAAAGATGCCGAAAGAAAGTGATATTTGGAAATTTTTTGAAAAGTCAAGTAAATTTGAAGCCAAATGTAAAATTTGCTTTAAATCTTACAAAATCAACTGTGGCAGTACTTCAACAATAACCAGCCACGTCAAAACTAAACATGAAGCATCTTGGAAAGAACATCTTTTGAAAACTACAGAGATACTTAATAAACAAAAATTTAAAGAAAAGGAGACAAAAACAACTACAATTGAAAGTTGCATTATAAAAAACCAAAAATATGGGTTAAATGATCCAAAGCAGTTAAAGTTTGACCTAGATTTAACAAAATTTATTTGCAAGCTTGGTCTACCTTTTAAAATTTTAGACAATGAAGGAGCACAAGAGTTTATTGATGAAGTAATTAGCAAGTTTACTGTCGAATCTGCATCAACATTTAGACGTCAAAAGCTTCCTATGTTGTATGAAAAGGTAAAGGAGGGTTTGCAAATAAAATTTCTCAAAGACTTTCCAGAAGTAACTGGAGTTAGTTTTACAACAGATCTCTGGACAAGTCGGAACAATGATTCTTACATGAGTCTTACAATTCACTACATTAGTTCAGACTTTAGTTTAGTAAGTTTTCTCATTGCTTGCACACCATTTACTGGTAGACACACTGGGGTTGCAATTGCAGTAAACCTGGACGCTTTTATTGCTAATTTAAACTTAAATGAAGAAGTCCATCGAGTCTGCGTTAATGACAGTGGGAGCAACATTGTTTTAGCTGCTAAAGAAAGTGATGAAATTAATTCTGAATTGCGCTGCAATGATCACACAATCCAGCTAGTTATTTTAAAAGCAATCAAAAATTCAATTGAACTTTCTAAAGCAATAAAAAACTGTACAGATTTAGCATCACACACACATAGAAGTGCTCTCTCTACGACCAAGCTTCAAGATGCTTGTGAAGAACTTGGAATTAAGCCCAGGAAATTGATTGTTCCATGTACAACTCGATGGAATTCTGATTACATGTGCATTAAGTCAGTCCTTGAAGTCAAAGATGCAATCAAAACACTTGCAAAAACCAATGATGAGTTTGAAAGGTCATGTCCCTCAGATGATCAATGGAAGACATTAGAATACAGCATTCCATTTCTTGAAAAAATATACAACATTTCAGTAACTTTATCAGCTGATAAAAGACCAACAATCCAAGATGTGATACCTGAATTATATTCCTTGCACCAAGAGCTTCTTTCCCATCAACATCACAAACATAAGCCAACAAGAACATTTATAAAAATGCTGATTTGTGAACTTCAGGAACGATATCCTCTTAACGGTGCTGAGCAGTTGATTAATTGTTTTGCAAATTTTTTAGATCCACGTTACAAAGGCCTGCATTTGATTGAATATAAAAAATGTGATGAAATAAAAGAAGCAATATTGACTCAGAAAAAACATGAAAAAGCTTCAATGAGTAGCAGCAAAACAGACAATGAAAGTAATGAAAATGTTAAAGTTAATCACCATGAACTGCTTAGAAAAAGACTGAAACAAGATATTTTAGCACGCAGTGCTTCAACGATGACTAAATTGGGTTTAGAAATTGATCATTATTTAGCAGTCGAAACAGCTGAAAAAACGACAGATATTTTAGAGTGGTGGAAAACTATGAAGTTGCAGTACCCAATTTTATCAAACTATGCACGAAAATATCTTTGTATACCAGCAACTTCTGCAACTTCAGAGAGGGTTTTTTCTAGTGCTGGTAACGTTGTCACTGCCAGAAGAACTACGTTGGCGGTTGAGAATGTTGAAAAAATGGTTTATATAAAAGAAAATATTAAGAAAATAAAA